CCCAGCTGACGGAGCCTCCGGAACCTCCAGCTCTTCATCCTCCTTCCCCTGTTCTGCTGGTGAGAAGGTCAGGACAGGTTAACACCTTCCACTGCTCAGTTCCCATTGCTGTTCCAATTGCTGTTCCCATTCCCGTTCCCATTGCTGTTCCCATTGCTGTTCCCATTCCCATTGCCATTGCTGTTCCCATTCCCATTCCCGTTCCCATTCCTGTTCCCATTCCCGTTCCCACTCCCGTTCCCATTCCCGTTCCCATTCCTGTTCCCACTCCCGTTCCCATTCCTGTTCCCGTTCCCACTCCCATTCCCGTTCCCATTGCTGTTCCCACTCCCGTTCCCATTCCTGTTCCCATTGCTGTTCCCATTCACGTTCCCATTCCCGTTCCCATTCCCGTTCTCATTCCTGTTCCCATTCCCGTTCCCATTCCCGTTCCCATTGCTGTTCCCATTCCCATTCCCATTCCCATTCCCGTTCCCATTCCCATTCCCATTCCCGTTCCCATTGCTGTTCCCATTCCCATTCCCATTCCCATTCCCGTTCCCATTCCCGTTCCCATTCCCGTTCCCATTCCCGTTCCCATTGCTGTTCCCATTCCCATTCCCGTTCCCATTCCCGTTCCCATTCCCGTTCCCATTCCCACTCCCGTTCCCACTCCCGTTCCCATTCCAGTTCCCATTCCCGTTCCCATTCCCATTCCCGTTCCCGTTCCCGTTCCCGTTCCCATTCCCATTCCCATTCCCATTCCCACTGCCGTTCACGTTCCCATTCCCGGGCAGGAGCCCCGTGGCTGTGGCTGGGGCAGACACCACACCGCACTCACTGGGTGATGCTTGTACCAGACTTTCTGCCAATTCCAACTGTCCCTGTCTGGAAACGGTTCAATGTTCTTTCTCACTCTCTCCAAACCACTGTCACCACTTCAGCTCTCAGGGCGGGTGGTGCCTCAGTGCTGCTGCAGCACTTTGGGCTGTGCCACGAGCCCAGCGGTCACTCAGTGCCGGTCGGACCCACCCCGGAGCTCTCGGCAAGCTTCTCCTGCTCCAGCTTTGTCTGCCCGTGTCCCTTCCATCCCCTCATCCCCCCCGAGGGCAGCCGGACCCGACAGCAGCGGGCTGATGATCCTGGAACTTTTCCTTACCGCCCTGCATGCTGGAAAATCCTCCCCGGAGCAGTCGACAGCAAAGAGGAATCTCTTCAGAGTATCTTCATCTGCTGCAGAAATTAAATCGCCCTTTCCTGACTCGGCACCCCCGAGGCTGCTCCTTCATTCCACGGGGTGAGGGTGATGGTGTCTGTGCTGAGCAGGACACGGAGCCCGGCGAGCGCTGGGGGGACGGAGCCCATCCTCCTCCTCCTTTTCCTCCCCCTCCTCCTCCTCCTCTCTGGAGGCAGAGCTCGGCTTGTGAGGCCCCAAGGCGAGAGTCCCTCCCCTTCCCCAGCCGGGAACAGGAAGCCCGGGGCGTTTGGAGCCGAAATCCTGTTGGGAAGGAAAAGGAGGGGGAGGCTGCGAAGTTGGAACCCGGGGAAAGCTCCGGATCCCACCCGAGCAGAGCCGGGCTGGGCTGGATGGAGCCCGGGGCTGCAGAGGAGCAGAGCCCTGGTCCTGTCGGAACTCAAAATGTCCCTCAGACATTTTCGGAAGTTCCGGGCCCAGGTCAGAAGCATTTGAGACCCTGGCAGGCAGCTGGAAACAGCTGTGATTTTGGGTTTGAGCCATGGAATGAGTTACCAACCTTGCAGGAAGAACAAGAAGTCACAAAAGTTTAGATATTACGGTAGAAGTAGTCACAAAGTAGAAGGAAGAATTTTTGAGTGCTGCACAGGGGGGTTTTGGTTTTGTACACAGAGGTCAGAGGTTTTAAGATGGAGGGATTTGGGCCTGCCCTGTCCTTTTTCTTCTTCCTTGCCTCCATGTTCTTGGTGATGTTGGCACTCCCAGATTGGTTTAGAGTAGAAAAGCACCATTTAATATAGGTAATGGGCACTGGGGAAAAACTGTACCCATGTAACACGTAATGTCCCATATAAAAGATAGAAAAGCACCATTTAATATAGGTAATAGGCATTGGGGAAAAACTGTACCCATGTAACACGTAATGTACCATATAAAAGATAGAAAAGCACCATTTAATATTGGTAATAGGCATTGGGGAAAAACTGTACCCATGTAACACGGAATGTACCATGTAAAAGACAGCAGCAGCCCTGGGCAGAGGGGGAGAGAAGAAGCAGTCGGGAGTCAGAGAGGATGTCAGGGTGTGTGTGTGCCTCTGCCTGAGCTGTGAGCAAACCACAGCAGCCCCAGAAGAAAATCTTTTAGATAACTTGCAGTAAACTGCCTTGAGACCAAACAACAGAGACTGCTGAGCCTTTCTTTGGCAGCACGGGCTGGAGGAGAAGTTTTTCCACCACACGGAGTCACCCCTGCCCCAGGGTGGGCTTTGACATGGTCCTGCCTGTCCTGCAGGGCCCTCGGCCGGGAACTGCATCACTGAGAGGGGACAGGCACCTGCCACCCCAGGCGTTCCCCAGGCCAGAGAAAATGGCACCAGCGGGGGACAGGGATGCTCTCTGCTCTCCCTTGGCACAGAATGCAAAAGCTGCGTCCTTCTGGTGGAGCCCAGGATCTCTGGGAGCCTGTGCAGGAGCCTTCCCTACAGGAGGAGTTTTAATATGTACACTGAGTTTTATTTAGGCAGGATGAGGTTTGTACTGAGTGGTTTAAGGGCCTTGTCCTAGCTTAGGGCAAATTTGGGAGAAAACCTTCTGGAAGGAGCCCCCAGAAAACAAATCCCCACGGCCCCTCCCCACCCACCTGGTTCGGGAAAAATTTTTCTCTGAGAGAAGTGGAAAAGAACCTGTTTATTAACAAACAAAGCACTCCCCAGCACCAAAATAATAATAAAAAAAAAAAAAACAACACCAGATGAGAACAAAACTCTTTCACCACTCTGAAGAGATGAACAAATCCAGAAAGTCTTTCCTGGGAGTGGTCGCCTGGGTCAGGTTGCTGGGGTTGCTCTGGGCACTGGGGATTGCTCTGGGCACTGGGGATGGTTCCGGGCAGTGGGGATTGCTCTGGGCACTGGGGATGGCTCTGGGCCCTGGGGATGGTGCTGCAGATCACAGAGCGCAGCTCTCCGTGCTCCTCGATGTTTCCCAGGTCCCATCCAGAGCAGGCTGGATGGTATTCAGGAAAGGGAAAGGAAAATAAACAGTCCAGGGCAAGAACTGGACTGCTTAGCTAACCTAACTAGGAAGCAAAGGCAAAAGCAGAAGCAAGCAAAGCAAGCAAAAGCCAACACCAGCTTCTTCTAGACACAGACCATGGGGGAGCTGAGCTGGCTGATAACAACAAAAAACCAACCTTCACTTTCAGAGTCAGTTCTGAATGCACAGAACAGAATATCAGACATAAACAGAACACACGATTGGAGATGCAAACACCATAATTGGAGATACAAACACCATAACCTCACCCTAGGACAGGCCTGACGAGGGGGCAGAAGGGCAGCAGCATCTGCACTCGGGGGATGCTCAGGGGGAACTGCAGCTCCAGCTGCTCCCAGCCTGTGTATGGGGAGAGGGGAGCAGGACTCCCCAGAGGCACCACGGAGCTGGGCTAAGGATCAGGGCTCTGCTGCAGGTGAACACGGAGCTGGGAGCAGTGTGGAGCCTGGCTGGGCAGGGGCTACTCCTGTGGGAGCCTGTGACTGCCACTGCCCGACAGAGCTGCTCCGAGGAGTAAAGTCAGAGCAGTGGCAATGTCCTTTCACTGACTCAGCCCAAGCACGGGAATCAGAAAAACAGAAACTTCCACAGACACTGAAGGGTTTGATTTGCAGCCTTGGGAGAAGCTGGGATTGATGTAAAAATACAATACATAGATATTAAGCAGAAAAATAATAAACCTATGTTTTTACAGTTGTAAGTAAGAACATGCCTTAAGTGAGAAAGTGTATGGGTAAGATGGGAAATGTTTATAGTGTAGCACTATAATAGGATGGAGTAGGTTTGGAGTTTAGAAGTTATAACAGAAACATTGAGTTAAAAACTTGTGAGTTAAAAGCCCATTAGATAAAAGTATCTGCAGTGCAGCAGAAGTAAATAAAGGTGATAGGTCAGAAAAGCAAAATAAATCCTGTGGCCTTTTCTATTGGTTTAGAAAGTTCTATATTACCTTATAACAAAAAATCTTGTGACTACTCTTAAGCTATAGCCGACTGCTTGCTCCTTTAAAATCTCACAGCCTCGGAGACTGATGTTTATCTGAGCAATAAATTGTTCTTAGCATGAAAATAATCCCACCCCTTCATTTCTAGGTGACAATGATACCCAAGTTTTCCCTCATGCTCTGCTGTGAAGTTTCCCTTCCCCTTCTGCAGCCACAGCCCAGCTCCTTTTCCCTCCCCAGCACACAGGAACCTTTGGGGTGGAGCAGCTCCCCCATCCTTTTGCAGGATCGTTTCCCTGCAGGGTTTCAAATCTGCGGGGGGAAGAGGGGCCTGGATCTGTGAGGATGTTGCCAAGGTCCCTTCCCAGCTCTCAGGGCTGGGCCAGGTCTGAACTTCAACCCAAGGCACACTGAGCAAGAACTCACACAGAATGTTTAACTTGAGCAGGAGAAATGTTTCCTGGGAGAAATTCCTTGGGAAGCTTTTGTACCTTTTCTACTGAGGAGGTTCCACGAGTTCCAGTTTTTCTCCAGAGAAAAGCTAATGGAGCAGTGGGAGGAGCTGCCTTGCCTGGCTTTGGGAAGGAAGCTGCAGGCCCAGCTCTCCCAGCCGGAGCAGAGAGAAGGCAGAAAGGTTTTTTACAGGTTATTTATTGATTTTTCCAACAACTGAGGCCCCTCACATACAGCAGAGAGGGTCTGCTCATTACAGGGCCTGGGGGACTGCCCATGCTTCATCCTCAGCAGCACAAGGGCTGAAAGGTGAGCTGGAGAGGCAGGAGCTGCCCAGGAGCTGGTGAGAGGGAGGGAGGGAGGGAGGGAGAGAGGGAGAGCCTTCATCCCAGGTGTGGAGCCCCAAAGGGAGGGTGGCAGTGCAGGGAGGAGCCGGGAGCAGGGCTGGTTCCAGGGCTCAGGACAGCAGCTTGTGCACTGCCACGGTGATGCTGTCGTGCTTCTGGATCATGATGTTCCTGCAGCAAGGAGCCAGGGCTGAGGGAGGGCAGCCGGGGGTGGCACTGGGCAGGGGAACCACCGAGCAGCCCCAGCCCCAGCCCCATCCCAGGCCTCGGCTGCTCCATCCCCAGCCCCATGAGCAGTGACAGAGACACCCCTGCTGCCCCCCTGACTCTGACAGGCTCTGTCACCCACAGGAACACCAGGCTCTGTCACCCACAGGGAATCCCAGGCTCTGTCACCCACAGGGACCCCAGGCTCTGTCCCCCACAGGGACCCAGGATTGTCACTCACAGGGACCCACGATTGTCACCCACAGGGACCCAGGATTGTCACCCACAGGGACCCAGGATTGTCACCCACAGGGACCCAGGATTGTCACCCACAGGAACCCAGGACTGTCACCCACAGGAACCCCAGGCTCTGTCACCCACAGGGGACCCAGGATTGTCATCCACAGGGGACCCAGGACTGTCACCCACAGGGACCCAGGATTGTCATCCACAGGGACCCCAGGATTGTCACCCACAGGGACCCAGGATTGTCACCCACAGGGACCCAGGATTGTCATCCACAGGGGACCCAGGATTGTCATCCACAGGGGACCCAGGATTGTCATCCACAGGGGACCCAGGATTGTCATCCACAGGGACCCAGGATTGTCATCCACAGGGGACCCAGGATTGTCATCCACAGGGGACCCAGGATTGTCATCCACAGGGGACCCAGGATTGTCATCCACAGGGACCCCAGGCTCTGCCACCCACAGGGACCCAGGACTGTCACCCACAGGGACCCAGGACTGTCACCCACAGGGACCCCAGGCTCTGTCACCCACAGGGACCCGGGATTGGCACCCACAGGGACCCAGGATTGTCACCCACAAGAACCCCAGGCTCTGTCACCCACAGGGACCCAGGATTGTCACCCACAGGGACCCAGGACTGTCACCCACAGGGACCCCAGGATTTGTCACCCACAGGGACCCAGGCTCTGTCACCCACAGGGACCCAGGACTGTCACCCACAGGGACCCCAGGCTCTGTCACCCACAGGGACCCAGGCTCTGTCACCCACAGGGAATCCCAGGCTCTGTCACCCACAGGGACCCAGGATTGTCACCCACAGGGACCCAAGCTCTGTCCCCCACAGGGACCCCAGGGGGAAGAGCTCCTGAGCTGCAGGAACCAGCAGCCCCTGGAGGGTTTCCTGCTGCTCTTACATCCCCATTAACCCAGGGACTGTGCCTGTGGCAGTGCCTGCCCCACGGCTGCTCCAGGGATGTGATCCAGGAGGCTCCCAGGGCTGGGGCAGGGCAAGGTGGGGCCAGCAGCAGCTGCAGGCCGGGACTCACCCGCTGTCCGACTCCAGGCACACCACGGGCGTGTCCGTGGGGTCAGAGGTCAGCTTGGCCGCCTGCTGGGCCAGCACCGAGATGATGCCGGCGTGCTCATCCGACAGGGTTCCCCTGCCTGCAGGGGTGGGAGGGCTGGGTACACCCCCTGGGCCAGGGCAGGGCTGGGGACAGGCCTGACTGTCCCCCCAGGCCGAGGGGCTTGGTCCTGCCCGGCCCATTTCCCTCCCTGCTCCTGCCCGGCCCATTTCCCTCCCTGGCCCATTTCCCTCCCAGGTCCTGCCCAGCCCATTTCCCTCCCTGGTCCTGCCCGGCCCATTTCCCTCCCTGGTCCTGCCCGGCCCATTTCCCTCCCTGGCCCATTTCCCTCCCTGGGGGCTGACTCAGTGTCTCCCCAAACGGTTCCTGTCCCTCCACCAGAAATCCCGAGGTGAGCTGTCAGGAAGAGCTGGCCCTGCTAGGAACAGGCAGGTGGTGGCAGGGCAGGTGTCCCCAGTGCAGGACAAGCCACCCCCGGGTACCCCCAGCTGGGGAGGGGGGGTCTGTAGGGCCGGGTGGTGCCCCCATCCTGGGGAACCCTTCAAAGGGAACGGGCAGGACCGGGGGCACCCCAACCCCCGTGGGCAGTGCCGGGAGCCCCCAGCCCTGGGAGCCCCTGGAGGGGTCGGGCGGTGCCGGGAGCCCCCCCGGTGCCCCCCACGCCTCCCGGTGCCCCCCGGTGCCCCCCACGCCCGCCGGTGCCCCCCACGCCCCCCGGTGCCTCACTCACAGCCCAGGTTGAGCCCCTGCGAGTCGGTGCACAGCACGCCCACCACGGCCGGGCTCTTCATGCTGGGGGCGACAGCGGCCTCAGAGCCGGGAGCGCGGCCCGGGACAGCCCCGGCGCCACTCGGCCCCGCCCGGCCCCGTGTGCCCCATCCCCCCGTGTGCCACATCCCCCCGTGTCCCCATGTCCTCCATGTCCTCATGTCGCTCATATCCCCACTGTGCCCCCCCGTTCCTCCATGTCCCTACGATCCCCCACGTCCCTGTGTCCCCCATATCCCCCCATGTCCCTCATATCCCCACTGTGCCACCCTGTCCCCGTGTCACCACATCCCCTCGTGTCCCCCATATCCACCAGTGTCCCCCATGTCCCTGTGTCCTCCCTCGTCCCTGTGTCACTGTATCCCCCGTGTCCCACATAACCCCCCATATCCCCATGTCCTCTCATGTCCCCCCGTGTCCCCGTGCTCCCCTATATCCCCCCTATACCCCCACATGCCCCCTCATGTCCCCCCGTGTCCCCCCACATCCCCATGTCCCCCATATCCCCCGTGTCCCCCCGTCCCCGAGTCCCCCCATGTCCCACATATCCCCCCCATATCTCCGTGTCCTCTCATGTCCCCCCGTGTCCCCGTGCTCCCCTATATCCCCTATGTCCCCCCTATACCCCCACATGTCCCCTCATGTCCCCCATGTCCCCCCACATCCCCATGTCACCATATCCCCCGTTCCCCCATGTCCCCAAGTCCCCCCGTGTCCCCCATATCCCCCATGTCCCCCCGTGTCTCCATGCCCCTCATGTCTTCCGCGTCCCCTCACATCCCCCACATCCCCTCACACCCCCACACCCCCGTGTCCCCCGCACACCCGTGTCCCCCCACACCCCCGTGTCCCCCGTGTCCCCCCACCCCCCCGTGTCCCCCCACACCCTCACACCCCCGTGTCCCTCGCCCCCCGTCCCTCACGTCTCCTCCAGGTGCTGCTCCAGCGTCGCCTCCATCGCCGCCCGCCTCCACTTCCGCACCGCCCACGTGACCCCGCGACGGCGGCTCTGCAGGGCCAAAAGCGCTCAGGGCGCGCTCGGCTCCGCGGGGATGCCCCGATTTTGGGGCTCCCCAAAATCCGCCGGTACCGGGCCCCCCCCCCCCCCCGGACCCCGCTGTGCCGCTGCCACCGCTCCCCGGCACCGTGCCCGGCTCTGGGGGCTGGCAGCAAACCTGTCCTCCAAACCAGCCCTCCCTCGGTGCCTGTTTTCCCGCAGAACACGCAGCTCAGTTGCGATATTTGGATTTTTTTCCTTATTTTTCTTCACTTTCTCCCCCAGTTGCGTCCCCTCCCTCCCCGCAGCGCCGCCCGGGGTTTGCAGAGCTGCAGGAAATTCAGTGGGGTGTTTAATGATGCTCCTGGATTCCCTGTGGAATTCACAAATCCCTTTCCCAAGGTGTTGGCTCCTGGGTGCTGCCCCTGAGTTTCCACATCCCTCTTTATTTTATCCAGCAAAAATCAAGGATGAGGCAATTTGAAGAGTGAAAGTGGATGCTGAGAAGCCAAGAGCTTGTTCCTGTGGTTTTTTTTTATCCTGGCACATGGTAAAATTTGGGATGTGAAGCTCAGCAGCATCAGCCGGAGCAGGGCTGCTGGAAACCTGACTTTAATTATTTTTACACTTTTCAGTTGTGTACAAGGGAAAACAAAATTCAGAGGGGCATCGAAGGCACTTGAGACGACATTTCGTGTTCAGACTCGGTTGTTTGCTATTCCTTATCAATGTTACAGTCTCACACCAGTGAGTTCTGCAGTTTTTTATTAGCAAGGTACTAAATGTTTCAGTATCTCTTGTTAGAATTTCTTTTAAGGCTAAATTATCTCATTAAGAAATGTTATTTATATTATTTTCCCTTTGAACCCAATAACTAATTCCTTGAAGTTCACACTGTGGACTTTTCTGTCCAGTTACAAAACACCAGCCAAACCCATGGAGAAGAAGGTGAAGAAGGACCAGCCTCCACCCTAAAACTTCTATTTTGCTCCATATTTTTTTCTATATTCTAAAATCCCAAACTCGGAGTTTTCCACCCTGTAATATTACACACTTTTAACCAACTCCACACCACAGTCCCAGTTCTATCCTGCTGCCTGCAGCCACCCCTGGTGATGGTAAAGAAAGAGAAGGAATAAAAAAAATAATCAGCATTTACATCGGAAAAACACCAAAAAAAGAGATTGGTTTCCCTTCAGGCAGAAGCAGGACTTAAGCACAAAGGATTTTGGGGGGTTTTGGTGCTCTAACATCACCAATTTTTCTTTATTTGTTTGTTTGTTTGTTCCTATTTACTTATTTGTTTGTTTCTTATTTATATATCTATGTATCTATCTATTTATTCCTATATTATATTATATTATATTACATTACATTACATTACATTACATCATATCAATCATATCATATCATATCATATCATCATATCATATCATATTATATAACATTACATTTATTACATTCTATTACACTATATTAATCTATCTATTTATTATTTATTTCTTCTCTTTCTTTATTCATTCATTTATTTATATCCACGCATTTATTTCTATTTCAGTTTGTTTGTAAAGCCCCTCAGGTGTGGCAGTGGCAGGCTCTGTGTTCCCATCCCCCATGAAATCGTTGGGATTTGGTGTTTGAGGCTTGGCAAAAACTTACCTGTGCTTGCTTCCCCCCCTCAAAAATGTCCGAATTTTGGTGAAAATAAAGCACTGCAAAGACCAGGATGAATTTCTTTAGGTTGTGGTTTTTTTACATCAGGATTTTTTCTTTTTATTTGTGAGAGAAAATCCTGCTAAGGGGAGGGTGCATCCCCAGGCCAGTGAGTTTGTGGTACTCTGTGTGGTGGAAAAGCTTCTCCTCCAGCCCGTGCCTCCAAAGAAAGGCTCAGCAGTCTCTGTTGTTCGGTCTCAAGGCAGTTTATTGCAACTTATCTAAAAGATTTTCTTCTGGGGCTGCTGTGGTTTGCTCACAGCTCAGGCAGAGGCACACACACACCCTGACATCCTCTCTGACTCCCGACTGCTTCTTCTCTCCCCCTCTGCCCAGGGCTGCTGCTGTCTTTTATATGGTACATTACGTGTTACATGGGTACAGTTTTTCCCCAATACCTATTACCTATATTAAATGGTGCTTTTCTATCTTTTATATGGGACATTACGTGTTACATGGGTACAGTTTTTCCCCAATGCCTATTACCTATATTAAATGGTGCTTTTCTATCTTTTATATGGTACATTACGTGTTACATGGGTACAGTTTTTCCCCAATGCCCATTACCTATATTAAATGGTGCTTTTCTATCTTTTATATGGTACATTACGTGTTACATGGGTACAGTTTTTCCCCAATGCCCATTACCTATATTAAATGGTGCTTTTCTACTCTAACCCAATCTGTGAGTGCCAACATCACCAAGAACATGGAGGGAAGGAAGGAGAAAGAGGGAGGACAGGACAGGCCCAAATCCCTCCATCTTAAAACCTCTGACTCCCATGTACAAAATCAAACCCCCCTGTACAGCACTCAAAAATTCTTCCCTCTACTTTGTGACTACTTCTACTCTAATATCTAAACTTTTGTGACTTCTTGTTCTTCCTGCAAGGTTGGTAAATCATTCCACAGCTCAAACCCAAAATCACAGCTGTTTCCAGCTGCCTGCCAGGGTCTCAAATGCTTCTGACCTGGGCCTGGAACATCCAAAAATGTCTGAGGCACATTTTCAGTTTTGACAGCAGCTTTTACCATCCTCACTTCCCATTCTGGAGGGACTCCCCAGGCCCCAGGAGTGGGAATCACCGGTCTCCTGGTGGTTTTCAGCTCTCAAGGTGACAATTTAGTGGGAATTCCTTGGTTCAGTAGAGGGACACCCCCACTGCGGGAGCAGGATGGGCTTTGTTCCAGATTGTCAGCTGGAGATGTCTATAAAAAAGGTGATGGAGAAATTCCCCTTTCCTGCACCCCTGCAGGGTTTTCCCTGAAATTTAGCAAAAACCAGGTTGTGCTCCCCTAAATGCTCTTTGAGAACAGCTCAGAAGTGGGGGTTTTGTTAAAAAAAAATAGGAGGTTTTTTTTCCCTAGGAAAAATCCTTTTAATTTAGGATTAGGAAATATCCTTTTCACTTCTAGGAAATAGAAAATATCCTAGGAAATATCCTTGTAACTTCTAGGAAATAGGAAATATCCCTTTTGCTTCTATGAAGTGGGAAATATCCTAGGGGATATCCTTTTAACTCCTAAGAAATAGGAAATATGCTAGGGAATATCTTTCTAACTTCGAGGAAATAGGCAATATCCTAGGAATATCATTTTAAATTCTAGGAAACGGGGAATATCCTAGGGAATATCCTTGTGCCTTGTCCCTGGAGGAGCAGATCCCGCCGGGAAGGGCAGTGCCCAAGCAGGGACAGGAATTTCAGCGGGGCCGGGAGCGGAGCTCGGCGCTCTGTGATCCCGGAGCTCCTCCCGCCCGGAACGGGGCCAGGAGCCCCTCGGGGCAGAACGTGCGGGCCCCCGGCTCTGTTTGATGTTCTGCTCCAAGGGGAGCCCGGAGCGGCTCCTCTGAGAGAGCCGAGCGGGGAGGGAGCGGCCGGGAGCGGCGGGGAGGGGACAGGGACAGGGATGGGACAAGGACAGGGATGGGATGGGATGGGATGGGATGGGATGGGATGGGATGGGATGGGATGGGATGGGATGGGATGGGATGGGATGGGATGGGATGGGATGGGATGGGATGGGATGGGATGGGATGGGATGGGATGGGACAAGGACAGGGATGGGATGGATCAGGGACAGGGATGAGATGGGATGGGATGGGACAGGGCTGGGATGGGACAGGGACAGGGATGGGGTGGGACTGGGGCAGGACTGGGGTGGGACTGGGGCAGGACTGGGGTGGGAGCAGGACAGGGCTGGGATGGAACAAGGACTGAGCTAGGATGGGACCTGACCAGGACATGGCTGGGATGGGACCTGACTGGGACAGGGCTGGGATGGGACTGGGACATGGTTGGGATAGGACAAGGACACAGCAGGGATGGGATCAGGACAGGGCTGGGATGGGATCAGGATATGGCTGGGATGGCCGGGATGGGTCAAGGACATGGTTGGGATCAGGACAGGGCTGGGATGGGAGCAGGACAGGGCTGGGATGGGAGCAGGACATACTTTGAACCTGACCAGGACACGGCTGGAATGTGACCAGGACATGATTGGGATGGGACAAGGACACAGCAGGGATGGGATCAAGACAGGGCTGGGATGGGACCTGACCCAGACATGGATGGGATAGGACCAGGACACAGCCAAGGTGCCACAAACCCACACACGCCACATCCTGGTCTGAATGTTCCACACCTAAAATAATTTCATGGATGTTTTCCAAACAGCAGGGGAATAGCCTCTTCTCTATTCTATTCTATTCTATTCTATTCTATTCTATTCTATTCTATTCTATTCTATTCTATTCTATTCTATTCTATTCTAATTATTCTCCTCTCTAATTCTCCTCTCTCCTCTCTAATTATTCTAGTCTATAATTCTCTTAGCATTCCATTATTTTATTTTATTCTCATGATCTTATATTGTAATTCTCTTCTAATGTAATTGCCTTATATTCAATTCTCTATTCTCTTTACTCTAGTCACTTCCTCACTGGACTTCAGGAGTTTTATGTATTTATATCATATTAAAATACAGAATACATAATCATATTTTTTAGTTTCTTAGAAATAATAGTATCCCTTATACATTATACATTATTATCATTACTAAAATATATTTATTATTTCAATAATTTATGTTTATTTAAATTTTTTTGTTTCTTTTTAATTTTTATTAATATTCTTTTTTTTTGGAGCAAATTTTTGTGGTTCCTACAATTCATCCTGGTGGCTTCCCACACTTCAAATCCACCTTGAACTCCTTCCTGACACCAAACTGGGATGAGCCTCATTGCATTTTTGGCTGCCATGGCCCAACCACTTCCTACTCCTCTACAAACCACCTGGATAATTTCAGCAGAAAAATCATTATAAGCGGTTTTATTTTTATATAACTGTTATAAATCATTATAAGTTG